ACCCCCCCCCCCCTCCCCCATGTAGCGCCCTAGTACACTGTCTCGTCGGTCCTCGGTGTGAGAGAACTTGCGGCTGGCGAAGGCGATGGCCCGCGGTGTGTGGTATCTGGTATGTGGTAGGTGGTATGGTATGGTTTGTAGTCGTGTCGGTCAGGGTGTACTACCGTACCCGTGTTGTCTCGACGAATTTTTCGACTTTTCCCCCCCCCCGCGTTTCGGCAACTATATGACGACGCAGACCCTCAAGCCATCGCGTCAGTCGTCTCCATTTGGGGGGGTTCGTGGATGAGCAACAACCCGGTTTCCCCTGACACCCCCCGCTGCGTCGAAACCCGCCTCGACGTGTGTTGATGTTGAAGCGAAAATCGATCTGGTTCTTGGAACACGAGGCTGTGTTTTCAGCCCCCGCCCCCCGCTCCCAACCGGCGTGATCGGGAACCCGTAAGTCCTTTCGCAGGTTGAAGGGTATGCGACGCCTACGATCGTAACATGTACACACGACAACGTGCACTTAAACGATGACCTCCCCGCGCGCACCCACCCGTCCATTCCCCGGCGCCATTTGTTTCAGCGGCATTGACCTATCGGTCCCACCCTGTAAGAGGGAAAACTCGCTAAGCCTCCGTAGTATTGTGTAGTCTAGCTAGCGGCACACCGGTGTTGGTGTTGCGAGAGAAATGAAACAAGTCTGGATCACCTTGCTTGGCGTTTCTTCCATCACGGCCGCCGCCAGCGCCGCCGAAACCCCGGCGTACCGCTCCACCCCGGCATTGTAGGGACGCGCGTGGCCAATAATCCAGCGACCATGGTATGCGCCGACATGAGTCCCCCCCCCCTACCGCTCGCCGCTCTCCGCTCATCCAGATGTTTCTGGCTCTCGAACACGGTGCTCAATGGTCCAACAGATAAGGCACACGCAGAACATGAGCACACACCCCGACCCCCCCGCCCTTGGCTCCTCTGTTACAATCATCCAGATGTTTTTGACCCTCAAGCACGGTGCTCGCGCCGTGGACGAGCTGTTCTACGACATGCAGTGCCTCATCACGAGGTGTGTATGTGTGTGTACGGGGGGCCCCGGTGGGCGGCGGGTGCTCGATCTCAGGGAGCGTGTGTGCCTGCCTCGCGCAAACGTTATTTACCACGGTGTTGTTGCAGGCAGTTCGGGGCAGGTCGGTTGGTCGGTTGCTGGAATTATTCCTTTATTTTTGTGGCTCTGTGCTTTCAAGACGTTTCAAGCAAACACGGGATGTTGGACCTGACTGAATCATGTTTGGGTGTGTGTCTCTGTCGTACGAATAGCCTCACCGCATGACAGCAGCTGACGTTCATTCCCGCGGCCATGCCTCGGATTGCCTTTTTTCCCTGTCATGTGTGAGCTAATTCTACCGACAGTTATCTATTGGTATTGCGCGAAGGACAAATGGATACCAATAGTTAGTCTTGCTGACCTCGATTTTTCAACGGCGGCAAGTTTTGTGGCAGTAGCGCTCTGTGTAAGATGGATTGAAAGTTGCCTCGTCACAAGACATTTTTCGTGTTTGTAATGAGTTTACGATGTGAAATTTCCACCTTGGGTGCTGAGGTACGCACCCTGCTGTTACTCGTTATTTGCCATGGGAACAGTCACTCAACACAACTTTTCTGAGACTCTAAAATGAAATAGGTGGTCCGCAGCGTGTGGCGCTAAAGCTAGGTGTGGACTGCCAGAAATCCCTTCCGCTTCACTATGTCCAAGTGGGTCTTTCCCTTTTGTGTCTCGTTCTCATTTTTTAGTTTGGTATCCTCTCTCTCTCTCTCTCTCTCTCTCTCTCTCTCTCTCTCTCTCTCTCTCTCTCTCTCTCTCTCTCTCTCTCTGTGTATGTGTGTCTCTGTCTCCGTCTCTGTCTCCGCCTCTGCCTTTGTCCCTCTTTCTCTCTCTACCGCTCCTTGCCTCCCTCTCATTCTCTCCCCCCGTCTCTGCATGCGTCTTGGTTGGGTCAGATCGCTGCTGTCGGTGCAGAAGAGCATCATTCACGACAAGCATTGCTTTGAACTCTACGGCTACGACGTCCTCGTGGACGCGGATCTCAAGCCCTGGTTGCTGGAGGTGTGTGTGTGTGCATGTATTGATTGTGTCCGATGTCAACAACGACGGTGATATCAATCCACAACCTATGATCTATCTGTCCTTCTTCATGGCTCGTCAGGTATCACCCCCGTTCGTAGGCAAACAGGCTCGTGCGAACATCGAAGGCTGAGACTTTGGAACACATCCGAAAGTGTCGGGGCCTCACCTCGGCGCGGGCGTATCTTCTATCAAAATCGACCGGGTTAAATAAATAACCGGCTGACCAATGAAATGAAACGGTTTCACAGTTTTCATAAGTGTCATTGTGGACATGTGTGTTATGTTTGTACTTGGCGTCGGCCGCGCACCGGCCTGTCCAATGAAAAGACGCTAGTCTCGGTGCGGCTGATCACAGAAATTCTTCACAAGGCTACATGATCTGGACACCCCCCGGGGAATCATGGGAGAGGCGAAGCCACTCTCCAGAATGACGACAGAAACGGTAGCACAACAGAAGTGTGTGTATTGCGTGTATGTTCTGCCCGCCAAGGTTAACGCATCTCCAAGCCTGAGCGCCGAGAACGCCGCCGACAAGAAACTCAAGACTCAGCTCATCTCAGACGTCCTGGACGTGGTCGACCTCGAGGGGAGGTTGGAGGGCGACGAGCAGAGGTAAGTCGTGCTCGAGAGGGACGAAAGCTCCGATAGCACATTTCGTAGCGCTGAATCTGGCAGTTTTTTTTTGTTGGTGGTGGGGGTCTGTGGTGGTGGTTGTAGTCGTCGTTGATGCAGTTGTGGATAGATGTTACAGCAGTAGCCAAGACTGGAGAACTTCCGCTATCTATGCATTCCGCACACTACTGCTGTTTCATGTTTTTTGTCGATCTCGATGGGACCGTGGCGCGGGGAAA